AAATTCTTCGCGCTCTCCAAACAAGGATGTCTGCAATGGCAGAGGCCAAAAGAAAAGACACACAGCTGGGTGAATGTAGAGTTGGCACAGCAAGATGACAGAGGTCTTCCTTCAACAGAGTTGTAAACACAAACTTTTCAAGCCTTTTTTTCCCCAGCAAGACACAGGATCAAATAATCCTGTGGCATCATCTTAGGATTGTCACTAAACACATTCCTATCTGAAAACTGTTTAACTTATTATGGATTTGGCCATCTAGCCTAGCAAACTATCAGTTTCTTGGGATCAAGGCTGAGTGAGAAAAACATAGGTATAAGAGTCAAAACAGACCTGGGTTTGAATCCTTCAACAAGCTGGCAAGTTATATAAACTCTCTCTGTCTCAATTTCTACATCTACAAAATAGTGTTAATAGTACCTCCTTCATAAGGTTATCAGTGAGGATTAAAACATAAAACATCAAGCAGAACACCTGTCACATGAGAGATGGTAAATAAATGAAGGGTGGGTACCCCATCGCAGGTGCTTATGTTGTAGTACATTTAGTGATCCCTGTTAAATGAATGCATTAAGCATGGTTACACTGATGGGCTTCTAAAAGCAGAATCACACCCTATGTACAGGGAGGGGGTTGCACCTGAGCGGGGAGGTAACCTGTGTCATTATTTGGAAAAAAAATGAATCTCTCAGAACCTATAACCAAATGAGGGAGGCCTATACAAGGGGCAGGGTAAGTTTTACTCTTTGTGTTGATGCTGACTAAGAAAATGTCCAAAATTGTACGAGGCAGCTCCCTGGTGGTAGGTTCTAACTTGGCACGCTCCATGACGAAGCACTCCAGGTGAAGTACCTGAAAGTTGAGGCTACAGCAAGCGTAGTAAACATGGTAGACACCAATAATCAACCATGATGGCCAAGATAATATCAATCATGGCACTTATTCATAGTGATCAGAATCCTTCTCAACATAACATTACAGGTAAGCTGCTACCAAAAGATGGTCTTTGACATTCAAGTTGAAACTTGATTGCTCTCCCTGGGCCACAGTATCAGAATCTCAAGATGATAACTGGACTAGAATAGCTCATTGAAGAACATCCTATGCTCTGGAATTAAGAAATGTCCTATTCAGTGGCACCAGGCTTCCACAATTCTAGGCCTATTAAGCAAAGCTTAGAGGAAATAAAACAAACCATTTCTTGGCCTTTGGGAAGCTCCTTGCCATGTTAGGCAGTGTCCCTATCTCTCGAAAGCTGACACAGACCTTCTCCAAGGACACTGGGAACCCTCTGATCTGACTCTCTATCCATTCTCTACTGCACCTTTCACGTGTTCACCCTTCCTTAACTTGAGACTCTTGTGCAAGGCTGCCATGAGCAGAGGTACCCAAGAGTGGGAAGCTTGGGCTACCTCCGCCATGAAAACAGTCTCACAGCTTTAAGTGGCAGGTGGGCACCCTCAGGCAAGCCCTTCAC